GGTGGTGGTGGTGGTGGTGGTCCTTCGTTTTGTCTTTCTGTCTTTTCGCATTCGCTCTTTCTTTGTATATGTCGTTCTTTCGTTGTTCCTTCTGCAATTCCTTCTTTTGTTATTTGTTTCTGTCGTTATCCAGTACCTTATTTGTTTCTTTCGGAAGTTGGCTGTTTCTTTCTGTCTTTCTGTCGTTCTGTCCTTCTCGCTTCGTGGTGCTCTTGATCTCTTCCTGTGTGTCGTTCGTTTCTGGTTGCTTTCTGGTGATAGTTCTGTCTTTTGTTATTCAGGGCTTTCTGTCTGTCTGTCGTTGATTCCTTCTTTTTGTCTTTCTTTCTGGCTTTCCTGCATTATGTTGTCTTTTCTTTATGATTACTATTTCTTTCGTTCTTTCTTTCCTGCTTTTCTCTTTGGCTCCGTCCCTCCATCTTTCTCTGTATACATGGGAGACCAGAAAAGAATATTCAAAAAGCATACCCCAGAGAAACAACAAAACACGGTCATTCCAATTCCGGGTGATTTCCGCCAGCCCCGCCTGCGGAGATCGTGGTACTGGGAGAAAGACACAAGGCGCTCGACGGTCTCGTCCCGAAGGTGAATGACCTGCACTTTGCTGGTCTCGAGTGCATAGGTGCACATGTCTTGCGGGAATTGGGCTGAGGTCGGGAGCTTCTTGGTGGAGTTGAGGCCAGGGGATGCCAGGCGTTGTTGATCGTGGGCCTCCTGGTGTCCTGGCTATGCAGTCTGCAGATTCCTTTCGCAAGAGCAGTGCGGAATTGCAACCAATCGAAGAAAACGCACCCAATTCCGAACTCATAACTCCCGAAATGCAGATAACGAGCTCTTGAACACTTGTGGCTGACTTTTTGTTGACTCCTTCCATTTTTTGACTCAATTTTGCACCTTGCCGCGGAATTTGTGCTTCAGCCATGGATGATCCAGCGCCTGACACAGCCGAAAGGTTGTCCAGACTCCGATGAACTATGCGAAGAGCTGAGCATGAGGGATCTGTACATTGCCGACGCCGAGACAAGCTCGGGTAGAAGCCAACCGCAGCGACAACAGCAAGAAAAACACAAGCAGAAACATGATAACGGGTCCGACAACGCCGGGGACGATGCTAAAGACAATGGGCGCTACGAAGACGATGACGATGACGATGCTGCTAGTGATGCGTGACACGGATGACGGTGACGATGATGGTGGTGATGTTGATGGTGATGGTGATGCTGATGGTGATGCTGATGGTGATGCTGATGGTGATGGTGATGGTGATGGTGACGGTGACGGTGATGGTGATGGTGAAGGTGATGGTGATGGTGAGAAGGGGGAGGAGGAGGAGGAGGAAGAGGAGGAGGAGGAGGAGGACGACGACGACGATACGATGACGACGGTGACGGTGATGGCAAGGGTGAGGATGATGATGATCATCATCATCATCATGATGATCATGATCATGATGACGATGATGGTGGTGGTGGCGATGATGTCGATGCTGATGCTGATGCTCATGATGATGATGATGATGATGATGGTCGTGATGATCGTGATGGTGTCGGTGGCAACAGAAGCAGCAACATGCTTCAGCAGCAGCAGCAGCAGCAGCAGCAGCAGCAGAAGCAGCAGCAGCGGCAGCACTACAGCATGATCAAGACGAAGAAGCAGAATTCCCTTGAGTGTGGAGGACTGAAGGTGCTGGAGGCAGAAGGGTCAGTTGTCTTGTCATACTTGACCCGCCACTCCTCTGTCACGCTGAGCCGCTTGTCCAACTCGACCTTCGTTGAGACGAGCAGAAGGCTCACTACTGTATTGGGCAGGCGCGGAGCTGTGCCTCAAGTCAAAGAAGGGTGTCCTATCTCTTCCCAGCTACAGGATAACATCAAGCGTAGGGAACGAATCCACCAATGTTGTGGAAGGTGCCCTTGGAAAACAACCAGTGGCAAGATATCCAGCTCTTCTGTCAAGTTCTGGTTGTGTTGTTGCTGCGTTCACAGGTGAAACGCGCAGACGCTTGCACTCTTCACGTCGGAACTGGCAGCTGAACTTAATTCGACTGGAGGAAAAGCATTGGGCATCCATCGCGCCTGGAGGCATCGCCGGATGAAGTGCTTGCAGCCTCTACTGCTCTTGCTTTTGAGGGGGTGGGAGGGTGAGTCGGAGACGCGGCCCGAAGTCGAGCCTGAAAAACAAAGAACTGCGCGAAACACTACAGAAAAGGAAACGAGACAGAACCCTGACACTACCCCAAAACAAAACGACGTCGCCAGCAGTTGAAATGCGGGGTCTCCATCTGTTGACTTTGCAGTCGCGACCCCACAAGGGGGCTGCTGATGCTAAGTTGCCGGTCTTTGTCAGGCCCTGACAAACCTTGTCTACGTCTTGTTACGCGATGAACGGATGGCAGGATTCGTGCATGCTACTGCTCAACATTGTGATTCCAACATTCACATCATCCGCCACACCAATACCACGAAACACGACAGCGTACACACGATCCTCACCCTCCCCCCAATCGTCCTGAGAACAGCACTATCGTGGTCGTCATCACTCAGCAGCAGCAGCAGCAGCAGCAGCAGCAACATACCACCACCACCACAGACAGTACCACGACCACCGATACCCCCACCACATCTCCAAACGTACCATCACGAACATCGCGATCAGAACATCACCAGCTTCATCACTTTCTCAGCACCTACTCTCTCTGCCATCGTTTCTGCAGGAAGCACTTCGTCCCAAAGCCCTCAATCTTTGAGCTTGCCCCACCTTTGGAGACTCCGTGCCATTGGCTCGAAGGGAAGACGAACCTCTCCGAGCAAATGATTCGCCGATGTTTTGACATGTGCAGAATCCCGGTCCGGAGTTCCGGCAACCCTGGTACGTCTATGGTGCATGGTTGAGAGACATGGACCTTCACGGGGAAGACTGTCTCGCGATTTTTTTTATTTGCACGAAACCCAGCCGCAATGTCTCTATCGAGACATGTATATCCTACAGCCGGACACAATCAGTTGCATATGCAGATATCTGAGCTGATGTGGAATCAGAACCTGATGTGCTACGGCCTAAGCTTGACAAAACTACGCAAAAAGTGCAAGATTCTGCGGCACCACACGACATAACACTGGACATGACTTGACATGATGCACGAGTGGAGATGCCAGGCCACTCTCGTACGGAACAAGCCCCTGGTACCGCTGAAGTGAACAGCATGGGACGGAAAATGAAGTTATGGCTCCTGCTCCAACTTGCTAGTACTGGCTAGATCCTCTACAGACGCGGATCACTGCTCTTCTGAGCAATAGGCCTTTTCCTTACTATTGGACCATCCCTGCCTGATGCTTCTTGCTGCATTACTGTGAAATCTACCACAGTTGCTATCGTGGCTGCTGTTCCTAATGCTCCTACTTGTCCTCTTACTCCTCCTCCTCATCCTGCTGCTGCTTCTGCTGCGGCAGTTGCGGCCGGTCAGGCGAGGTGGTTATCAAGGTGCACGTCCCAACCAGCGAATTCTAAATCATGCCCATCTCAAGGCAAACACGAACCCTAAACTCATTCTAAACTCTATACCTCACACTACACGGCCTCCCAGCTTTGACCAAGCGCAAGGTTTCCGCATCACTCTCTCCAAACTCGGCAGGTTGACGAGACTTCAAGGGCTCTAGCCACAGGTTGCAACCACATAAAGCTACAGAGTTCTCTTCAGGGGTCAGGACGGTCATGGTGCCAAATCCTCTCATGCTTGGTCAGGGAAGCCATCTCATCTTGGAGTTGTCTACCACGTTCAATATGCCACAAGTCACGGATGTGTGTCAGGGTGCGAACCGAATGGTGGGGCTAGAACTTCGAAAATACGGGAATCCTGTGTCCAGGCTTTTGTCAGAGCCCGTCATCTGCACAATCCAGACAGCTGGCTTTAAAAAGACGGACATGCTACAATATCATCTAAGATCTGTATATTTGGGTGAAGCTGAATCCGTCGCTTCTCAAAGAATGTCGCGAACCTGCCTCAGGACGGCTGATGGGGAAATTACGCGGATGGCAAACCCTTACACCTTGTCTTTAAGTCCGTATCATGCTGGGTGGCCCTGCAAAGGGAGGGATTCCAGACAGCAGCATGAAGCACAGAGCTCCAAGGCTCCAGATGTCGCACCTCTGTCAATGGCTTCCAGTTCAGCAACACGTCCCTGTCTCTGCTCCTCAAGATCCCGACGCTCGAAGAGCCCACACTGAGACTGGGGCTCGCGTCCGTAGCTGCCAGAGAGGACTTCTGGGGCCACCTCGCCGGGTCGACCCACACGGAAACTGACGCCGACGTCTTGCCCTCTCTTTCGCAGAACTCCTGCTTTTCAAGGGTCTACATCAACGATACTGCCCACACATCTTAGCCAGACTCCCATGTGGCTGCGGGGTTCAAGGTGGACTTGGTCTCTACTCCGTTCTGGACGACTTCGACTTCTTCAAACTTTTGTCGTTCAAAACACCTTGAAAGCCGGGAACTTCACCAATCTTGAACCAAGCTTGGGGCCCGGCATAATACGGGCTGCCCACTTTCGTCTGAAGCGCTTTGCCCTCCTGACCCATCTGAAAAGCGTAATCCAGGAAGCCCAAGGGTACGGTACGGTGATTCAGCACTGGGCATTCGTGAGATGCAAGCACACGGATCGTCCTCAAGATACAGGCCAAGCATCAACACGCTAGCAGACTTAACAAAAGCGCGAATCAGCACATGTCAAAACAGCGAAATCCAGATTGCTTTGCCATGTGCCACTTCCACACACACACACACAACCCTCACAGCCTCTACCCTTTCCCTGAAACCACAAAATCATCAGGCCAGGTGTCATCGGGTGCCCTGCAGGAGTAGCCAAAGTCGACCAGGCGGAGCTGCGAGACCGTGCTCTCCGCGCTGTCTGCCTCCCGTGCTCTTGGACTTCTGTTTCTTCAACAACATTGGGGCGGCTCGGGTGGGGCTAAGTTTGTCGCCGGGGTACAATATTCGGTGCTCCGTTTTGATTTGTCGAATGCCCTGCAGCAATCAAAGGGTTCAAAAGAACAGTGTTCATGAGTAGGCTCCCTCCCTGGACCGACGACTCCTTGTGCCCGTTACTTCTGCTGCGACAAATAAGAACTACGAGTATACCAGTAACGATGATGAGGACTGCGTCTTCGACATGCTCCCCGGCCGGCCTTGTACATGATGTTTTCAGGCCTTGGCAATGACAACGACTGTGCACATCAAAGGCTGGGACGGCTTGGGAGTTTGAGGCATAGGGTAACTTCTGGCGGCAAGTTGTGGCTTTTGCTTTTCATGGTGGTGCCCGTTTCGAGCACTGGACTCTTCGGTTCTCGGCTCTGCCCCAGGTGTGCTAGGGACCAGGCTTGAGGTCGCGGTGGACGTAGCCGTTGGCATTGAGGTAGTTTAGCCTGCAGGAGTACTGGAACAAAAAACAGGCGAACATTGGACTCATTGGACTGGCAGAGTCATCTCTGTGTGCTCCTGTGCTCTGCGCAGCTTCACCCCTGAGGCCGCTGCGCGGAAAGCATTCCTCGCATGACCATGGCGGCCCTGGGTCAAAGAGTTTGTACGAGAATCCTTTGCGCCACAAGCGTCAGGGCGAAAGTTTTAGAGGTTCAGGTGTTGCGGGCCTTTGAAGGACCATGGTCACAGCAAGCGGTCAAGCTTTTCGATTTGGGAGTTGAGGAGCTAGATTTTGGATTCACGGCTAAGCCAGCTGAGGTTCAGGGATTGGGGGTTTGCTCCTCGAGGAGCATGCAGAGTGCCATACTTTAACGGCAGAGTCCACAAGCGAGCGCACTTCACGTTCTCATGGAATCCTCTTAAGTGAGTCCCACAAAGCTGAAGAGGATTGCAGAGAACCGCCGACAGGTCATTGCTGGAAGGCTTTGCATGCAGATCTCGTTTCAGATCATGTTGCATGGGACCCACAGCCTCTATTTCGGTGCGAAAACCTGGCCTGATACTCGAGCGGCTCGCTCTTCGTGAGCTATTTGCAGTGGCGTACGACGGAAATAGTAACAACTGTCATCAGTACTATCCCTGTTGCTGGTGGTGTGGCTTATTGCGGCACTGTACGAAAATTTTGCTGGAAATGATGATGACGACGACGACGACGATGATGACGATGATGATGATGATTATGCAGACGCTGACGATGCTGACGATGCTGATGA